TGTGTTCTGCCGTAAGCCATACGTCTGTGGCAGCAAAAGGGTTAAAAAAACACTTAACCAAGGAGTTCAACCTTAAAAATACATTGAAGTACCTTAACTGTTAACAAAAATGTATCTTATATGTGTATCACTTAGCTGTAGATTCTCAAATCATCTCTGAATTGCTGCTGACATTGTCCTTCCTTTTGGAGGGTGGATACTTTTGTTCCCCATGGTCCCTGTGTGTGTTGTAAAGTAGCCACCGCTCCAAGCTCACTCCCGTAATGGACTACAAGCTCACGTTTAGTTCACTAATTTGTATTGAGATTGTAGTCTATCATGGGTGTGAGCTTGGAGTGGTGGCTACTTTACAACACATGGACCATGGGGAACAAAAGTAGCCACCCTCCAGAAGGAAGGACAGTGTCAGCATAAATTCAGAGATGATTTGAAGATCTACAGCTGAGTGATACACAAATAAGATACATTTTTGTTAATAGTTAGGGTACTCAAATGCATTTTTAATATGTAACTCCTGAGTTTAGTGTCACTTTAAGGATTACACAGGAATACATTTAAGAAAATAGATAAATTGATGCAAAAAATGTTTAATTTCACATCATGCATATGAGTAAACACAATGCAAGTATGCAAAAGCGTCTTTAAATAATGACAAACCTCATGATCCATTATGGTTAAAAAAGAAAATGTCAGTGTTGTCCACTACAGCTGATCATCTTATAACCTGCAGCAGATAAATCACAGTTGCAATCATATTGGTTGCTTAGGCTGAACAGATGTTTTTCTTTCTCTCCTGATACATGTTGTATTTTAGATTAACTACTCAAAAGTTGAATAAATACTACATAATTTTTATGTTCGGTAGAACATAATAATTTTATACTGTTTTAAAGCTGCTGTTATGAATAAAACTAAGTACATAATCTAAATAATTTACTTTGGAACACTAATCAGCAAAGTAGTTATACTGGCACCTAAATAATACTGAAAGAGAGCACAAAATGTGCTTCAGATTGTCCAAACAAGGTCATATAAGTTCACTTGGAAAGTTGTAAGCGGACAGAGCAGTCGAGCTGCTTATAGAAATCACCGGTTAATTTTGAAAAGCTGAACAAGAAAAATTATGGTACAAAACACAAACTCATGGGTAGAAGACTCTAGTCTCTACACCAAACATTCTTAATACTCAACGTTCTTGGTTCTAAACTTTTAGAAAAAAAGCACAAATAAAAACTGGAGAAAAGAATCTAGCATATACTCACCTTGACCTATCAGGTTTTATCTTTTATGCTATGGGAAACTGCAAACAAGGAATCTGATTGGTCACCAATTAGCAAATTCTCTTTTTTTGGAGAATTTTCTTTTCTCTGGTTTTTTTAGGACCTCTCGTGTATTAATGGGTGGGTAGTGCCTTTGTTTAAAACAATGACTGTAATATTGTAAATTGTAAATCAAAAAAGGTTGTGATAAAGAGAGCACAAATGTCTTTTGTAAAATTGTTTGTTTGAAAGTTTCCCAATATTTGGAAAAAGGTATTTACAAATGTAACCATAATGTTGCTATAAGCACCAGCTGTAAATGATAAATAATTGTTATCAAGCAAACATAAATGTGATATTTTTATCTGGGAAAACTGCAAGGTGTTTACATAGTTCTCCCTGGTTATCTCGGTATTGGTACAGCATCTGCACAGTATGACCTTTAATACTGCATTGAACAATGTAGATTTGTTAAGATATTTTTCTAACGCGAGTGGCGAAGCCACTTCAAGCTGGCCACACGTTACAATCTCTGTAAAGATGGATTTCCCAAGAACAATGTATTGTTACGTGTGGCTAGTTTTAAACTTTCAGGCAGGGCTTTACTAGAGGTTCATATTACCAAATTACTCATACTTTTATCCCCGACTTTTTTTTCACTTAATTAAAGTGAACTTGTCAGCCTTGATAAACTTTAAAAACACAAATTTGAGCCAAAGAACACATATTTTCTAGTGTCTACACTTATGTTTATTAGCTAGAAACACTTTTCCCTGAGTGACCCACTGTTAGGCCTTGTTCACACCAAGCGCGGAGCAGGTGCAGAGCAGAGCAGTTACAGACCGGAGCAAAACTGCGTCCAATGTATTCCAATGGTATTTTTAGCTCCAGTTCACATTGCAGCGTTCAGTTCTCTGGAACGCATGCAAACGCATCAAAAAGCCATGCAAACGCCTGGAACGCACGGAAAGCCCATGTTTAACGAAAAAAAGCAAGACATTTTTTAACCAAAAATGGCCCAGAACGCATCAAAAACGCATCATAAACGCGGCACAACCCACTGCACTGCGTGTGCAGGTCTCATGCAGATCTGCTTTGCATTTGGTGTGAACAAGGCCAAGAGTCTACGCTTCTTTCACTGTTCAGCTAAATCTCAACCTACCAAGCCAAAGCCATCATCCAACTATCCAATTAGACTGCCTCAGTCATACCTGCAGCTAACTCTTTTTGCGCCCGAGGCAAGAACAAAAAAATGTGCCCCCCCAAACGGCGTGCGTTGTCACCCAACGTGACGTTATGTGCCCCGCCTCAAGGATGTGTTTTTATTATTTTTTTAATTATTTTTTTATTACTTTTTATTTTTTTATTTAAATGTTTTTAAATGTCAATGAAAACAATGTTAAATAAAACTCTTACATGAGAATATTTATGTGTGTTAAAAATAAGTCTTAAGGCTGGGTTCACACCTAGGCGTAAGGAATATGCGCGTTTGCCATGAGTTTCGTGCCGCGCGTTTTTACCACGATTTGCGGTAAAAGTAACGTGCGACAAACGCGCGTTTCCGAGGGCTATCCGACTGTATCCTAAAGGATACGCAGGGCAAATACGCCCCAAAGAAGCTCCTGTACTTCTTTGGGCGTAGGGCATTTTGCAGCGATTTCCTACGCGCTTTAAAACGCCCAGGTGGGAACCATGCCCATAGACAATCATTGGTTTTCACATGTTGAGTGTTTTACAGCGCGTAGGAACGCGCTGTAAAACGCCCAGGTGTGAACCAGGCCTTAATGCTTTGTGAGAATTTAATTTCGGACTGACATATCCTAGAGTGGATATCAACTTGTCCATTTACTGTATGCAGTCATGGTGCATGTTATTGTAGCCTGCAAATGAACATGCACAGGAAAATGGCAGCTATGTTGCCTCAGGTTATGTTCACAGATAAGAAAACCAGGGGTTGAAGCTTGGCCATATGGAGTATATGCTGCACTGTTATCCACATGCTGCATATTTATGTTTTTTGTTTTTTTGCATGACAATATTTTGTGTGCAAATTCTGGGATATATGTTATTTGTTAAATTTTTGAAAGGTAAGGTAAGACCCACTGTATGTTCTTCAAATAACATATATTTGCAAAATAGCACCATGATAAGGATCATATTGACAGAACTATAAATTTGGGAATAATAGTATTGCTAATATTTCTTAGGTGGTTAAAGTTACATTAAACCCTCAGATTTTTTAACATAATACTGTAATGTGTGCCTTACTGTAATCCATGGTTGATCCCTTCTTTTAAATCTGTATCTCTTCTCATGCTGGGCAGAACTTCTGTTTTGCAGCTGACTGCCTTGTCTCTGGAATGGATACATGGTGTTTGTGTGAAGGTTCACAACCTGAGACAGCACTGCAGGAAGAGGCACTCAGCTGCAAAGGGAAGTTCTCCCCCAGCATGAGAAGAGATACAGATTTAAAAGGAAGAGCAGCAAAGAGAAGGGAAACTACCATAGATTACAGCAAAGCACACCTTACAGTATTGTTTTATGTTACAAAAACTGAGGGTTTAATGTCACTTTAAAGTTCCTTGGATCCTTTCTTTCTTTAACAGATGTGGGATGAAAATAGAATGCTTTTATGATATATGTGTACTGGATGATAAGGAACAAACATCAAAGGAAAACAGATACTTACAGTATCCGTGCAACTGTTTTCATTTCATGTGAACTGCTGTAATCTATCCAAACCTTGAGCATTCCATCTTAAAGTGGACCAAAGGTATTTATTTTTTTGTTTAGGATTGCACATAGAAGGGTTAGAAGCTCCATAAGCTTTTTCTTGCTGTCTAGGTCCCCATTATGAAGACTTTTCTTCTTTTTTGTCTCAGACACACCAGAGACATTTGATCTTTTTCCCCTACATTGGCTACCAGTTACAGAGAAATAGCTTTAAAAGAACAAGGTTCTAACCCTTTACTGCTCTTTACAAATGTAAAAATGTTGTCAGAAGTTTCATATTAAAAAATGAATACAAAAATACTGAATGCCAGTGGTTGTGAAATGGTTTGTGTATGCTGATAAATGAAAGATGAATATTTACAGAGGCAGCAAATAACATTTCCAAAAGGACATTGGTAGCCTTTAAGAGCATAGAAGAGAACAGGTAGAGATAGTTGAGGCCTTACAAGCTCTCCTTCTCAATAGTTATATACTATATTTAGCTTATAGTTTAAGGGAAATGTTAAATGTATTAAAATATTACCTGAGAGTGAACACCCCACTAAAAAGAAAAAAAAAAATGACACAAAGTAAGTTAAAGGGTTTATTGTGTCCTAGTTTTGAAGGATGGCGGAGGTCCCTTTGTAGTTTTTGCTGCTGTTTTTGTGGTGAATACCAGGTTCAGTGTTGTTTTCTGTGCTTCCTTAATTTTCTTGGTAGTAACTCCTGGAATGTGCAAGTAAATGGATAATTTTGCAAACCTATTGTTTATGTTGTTTTTTGTTAATGTTATATTAAAAATATAAAAAAAAAAATGAAATACCAGACTTAAAAAGGATTTGTCCACCCTTTTGAGAATGGAGGCCTAGCAGTGCTGAACAGGTCAAGTGTGCTCACTGTGTTTACAATGGGTTAATTTATCCCTATTAATGCTCTGATATTAGAAAATGGGAAAATAAGAAAATGAAAATTAGCATTTGATGATGCTGAAAAATATAGAACAAAAATGGTTGACTTTCCTCTACCTACCTTTTTATCAATGGAATCCATCTGTTTCCAGTTGTTGGCTTTTAGCTGATGAAGTTCATCGAATTTCATACTAATATTTTCTATGGACAGTTGCAACATGTCCCAGAACCCTGCTAAATCCTGAGATGTTGGCCTGGGGTGAGCATTGGGATTCTGCAAAACACAGTCAAAGCAAGGATTAGGTACATTCTATTAATAACTGGTGTAGAAGGAAAACCATTCTAGCCTCCAATTCCAATAAAGCTGACATGTACTAGACAAACTAAAACACTCTACTCCTAACAGCTTTGAAGATGCTTAACTGAACAAACTGAAAAGAGAAGCTGGTAGTTTACTAAGGACAACTGCTTCAGATTCTGCTTGCTCCAGTTTTGATAAATCCCCCCCAGTGTGTGTTATAAAATCATTTTTAGAGCCTTTGTTTTATCCCTTGTTTTGGATAGGGTCAAAAAGGGTTAGATCCTCTGTAATCATATCATTGATGTCTTTGTCTCCCTATTTAGAAGATTTATACTTAATTCCTTTTGAAAGCACAGGAAGTAAGGTAAAATCTCCCTACTTCCTGTATATTTGATAGTTGTTGGACAGAGGCAGAAGAGAAGGGAAATCCCTCTGACAGAGACTGACTGCAATAAATAGATTTTCTATCAAATTGCATAAAGTGATATTAAAGCTTATTTTGTTTTTTTTTTTTAGATCTAGGAGACCTAACTTTTTATGAATCGTTTGTTCTTTTTCTTTAAAAAAAAAAAAGAACGCACTGGAATGCCGACTCCCAGCGTTCAGGGGCGGGAGGGGGCATGGGGTTGCAGCCAGCGGTGTATTTACAAATGCTGCTGCCCTAGGCAAAACAGCAACGCCGCCCCCCCCGTACTGACGGCCGATCGACCGCAGCCATGTCCCCCGGCCCCCACAGTTTGATCGCTAGCACCCGGAACGCAGGCACATTAGTGCCTGCATTCCGGTCCAGTGTGACCTGCAAAAAGTGCTTGCAGCATTCACTGTGGGCGAGGGGCCTGGCTGCGGTGCCATTGACTTCAATGCAACACCACGCCCCCTTCAGCCCCTGAACGCAGGTGTTTTTTTGTTGGTAGATCTCATTGAGCTCGTCATTTGAAAAGTAGATCTCCAGACGAAAAATAGTGGGCGCCCCTGTCCTAAGGTATCAGCATACCAAGACATTTTGGACAATTTCAGGCTCCCAACTTTGTGGGAACAGTTTGGGGAGGGCCCCTTTCTGTTCCAACATGACTGCGCACCAGTGCACAAAGCAAGGTCCATAAAGATATGGATGAGCAAGTTTGGGGTGAAGGAACTTGACTGGCCTGCACAGAGTCCTGAACACCTTTGGGATGAATTAGAGCGGAGACTGGGGACCAGGCCTTCTTGTCCAACATCAGTACCTGTCCTCACAAAAGCGCTTCAGGAAGAATGGTCAAACATTCCCATAAACACACTCCTAAACCTTGTGGACAGCCTTCCCAGAAGAGTTGAATCTGTTATAGCTGCAAAGGGCGGGCCAACTCAATAGTGAACCCTACGGACTAAGACCGGGATGCCATTAAAGTTCATGTGCGTGTAAAGGCAGGCGTCCCAATACTTTTGGCAATATAGTGTATATGCTCACAGTTAAAATAGAGCCTGCAATTACTTTTTCTTAAACTTCATTGGCTCAATGCATTCCATGAATAGGAGAAAAAGTATGTGTGCTGAGCAATACGACACACCAGTAAAAGCAGAAAGGGATGGTAAGTCTTCTTACAGGACTGTCTGACCCTATGAATACTATGTTGTAGCAGTGTATGACAGCAACATTCGATAAAGTATCCAAACTAGGACAAGCCAACTTTATTTCTAACAAAGTCAGCTTCTTAAAGAGGAATGACCTGCCATTGACTAGGTTGATCCTGGCCATAAATGGGCATCTGGAACACATCTGAGACAAGTGAAATTTAGGAAAAATATTTTAATTTTATGAAACCCATTCATGGAATCAAATACATTTGTGATTTGAAATATCCGTTTTGATTAAAGTGTGTCATTTTTTAACCAATAATGGGCCTTTTAAATAAAATGGCATTCTGAAGTCAATTGTGGTTGGTCCTTGCATACCTCAGATTGACGCTGTGATTACTCATCTACTGACTAACAATTTAATGGGTAAAAATGTTGCCCATCTGTCAAGAGATGCCGCATCAGTTTTTAGGAATATCTAGAGCCAAGTTGGAGTCACAGCTTACAGCTTTTCCCATTTTCCCATTATAAAATCAAATATGACAGATGTGAAGTGAAGAAGAATAAATCCAGCAATTACCAGGATTTAGGTCATCAGAAGTGCTAATACCTAATAACTAGAGAGGCATGTTACATCAGTGCATAAGTGAAATACAATTACTCTTGCTAGTACTGGTGGAAGCATGCCTGGGCAGTTGTACACATGGAAACACAAACAATGTGCTGTATGCAATGCAAGTCATTGATGTTTGCCAGGGAATTGTAATAAGGGGGATTATAAACAGGAAAACTCTTTGTAATTGTAGAGCATGCTGAACCAGACATGAAGAAAAGGGTGGAAAAAAATTCCCAAAGCATGAACACACCAGCTCATCTGCATATATCACTTCACATATTTCACTTTTTTTAAGAAACCCAATCCACATTGGAAGTGATCTCTTAGGGAAGTTTTAAGGAAGGATATGAGGTGTACATACCAGGTTTTCCTCACACAGCTCTCTGAACTGGTAGAATTTCTGTGACATCAGGAGCTGGGCACAGCCGACCGCACTGCGAATCTTCTCTAAGACTACAAAAGGAAACAAAACCAACTTAGTTTTGCCTTCATAACATGATAACATGTTACATATTTACATGGTTGATATATATATATA